GGCGGCGGAGCGAGCTGAGGCGACTGGCGTAGAAACTGCGCCCTGCTGTCGTCGGTGCTGCGTGCTGAGGCCGTTGGTGTGGGCTCTGCGCTCCAGCAGGGCTCTCGGAGGGGTCTTCCGCAGGGCACCGCAAAATGGCTTCTGGTCAACCCCTTGCTGGCTCGGCCGCGGTCCGCTCCGAGCGCGGGCTCTTGGCTGTTTCTGTTTTCTGTTAGACAAGAGGGATGTCGATTGTACAGCGACTTTAGATACCATTTGCAAACGCAATCAAAGCTTGCTATGCGAAGCTCTGCGTAACTAGCGTATGGAAACTAATGGGTTCAATTTACAGTACTCTGAAATCAGTGCAGCAGCACAGTAGGATTGTTTTGGGATATACCATGATTGCTGTGCGTCAGCCGAAGCTTGTGTTGAGATTTTAGTGTTACATATTGCTTGATGAAAACAATTGTTCGTCTGTCGACGTTCACCCAGACGCGCGTTAGATGCGTGGCCAAAGACGTTAACGCCTGTGCGGTAACGGGGGTTGTTACTCGGGTATGGCCTCACCGAGCGGGGCCCCTGGCTGACCGAACTTGTACCGGAGCTACGTGGTGTAATTACCCGGGTTAGGGCGGAGTACCTGAGTGTCTCTGAGTTTATTATAAAATATTAATAATAGATGTCAAGGTAAGCTTAATACATACATGGGGAATAGTTGGTTTAGCATTTCAACTTTTGTGGATATAGGTATGAAGTTATACAGAGTTAATTAGTTACAAACGAGGGGGTTTTTAACCTTTTTGTTAGATGAGAAAAGTTTGTGTTGGGAAAATACGTGGAAATTTTGCTGTGCTGGGTATAACTAGAGATGTTTACAGGTAAATATCTGAATAAAGTTGTAAAACTGGGGTTTATAGGTAGCCTTATTTATATAAAGACGTAAAATAGATTACAAGGAAATAATACTTCTATTATTACTGTTGTCATTGTCAGATATTTCACACTTTGTCTTTCTGCAGAGATTCTGCAAGAGGATACTCTCAATATGACATATGCAGAGGAGACAGAAACTATTCCCGTTTTTCCTCTTCTGATTTTTACGCCAGTCCTGGGTTGGAAGACTTCCCCACTTCTGGAACAGAGGAGGATACAGACTCAGCTATCTTATATGGAACTTTGAGAGGAAGTGTTGTTGGATTACGTTACTACACAGGGATTGTAAGTGCATGATAAATCATAAAGCAGAAGAAAAAGTTGTCAGTTTAAAAAAAAAAAAATTACTTAAATTTAAGAAATTCCTAAATTTTTGACCAAGTATAATTTTAATAGATTTTTATTTTAATTTCATCGCTTTCTATATTGTTCATTCTTCACTGCAAGTACTTAATCTAAAACTTCAAAATTTAATTAGCGTAGTGAGCTTTCAAATCTGGATTAGTTAATTTGGTAGCTTTGCTCACCTACATACGGCAAAATGAATGTAAAAAGAAATCAGATTTGCACTGTTTTTGAACTGTATACGTGGACAAAAAGGGATGTTTATTCCCTTACAAAATGCGTTAGCAGTTGAAGGTATTTCTTGCTCTCAGGAATGCTTTTGAAATAGCTGACATCTATCGGGTAGGTCTTCTGTGAAGCTTTTGGTATTTTGCATAAGTGGTAGGTTATTAGACTAACTGAACAGAATACTATACCAGATCAAGTAAATGTCTATTAGATATTTCTGCAAATAATTTGAAACTAAATGAATGTGTTCTGGTGTGTGTGTGTTTGTTTTGCTTTGTTAGGTTAATAACAATGAAATGGTTGCGCTTCAGAGGGAGCCTAATAATCCTTATGATAAAAATGCTGTGAAAGTAAATAATGTGAATGGAGACCAGGTAGGTCATATAAAAAAGGAACTAGCGGCAGCGTTGGCAGGCATTATGGACAACAAACTAGCATTAGTTGAAGGGTAAGTGTGAAGGTTATGCTTTTGGTTCCGTGAACATAAATAACAGAAATGGTTTTTGTTGCTATAGTAGCAAATTCTGAAAACTATTTGATGAAGTGTTCTCTTTTGACAGAAATGACAGCTCTTGGTAATACATTTAATGCTTCCATGTTTTCAGACTCGTTATTCTTCTGTTCAACTACTTGCATACAGTTCATTCTTTCCCCTATAAATAAAATGTAGAGGTACTAGTGAGAGCAAATTCCTTAAAGATTGTTGTGGAACTCTTAAATTAACTTCATGTGGTGGCTTGTATAAAAGGCTTACGTGGTACGAGTACTAACCTATCTGGAATGTTCTCTATTTTTATGAAAATAAGCGCTTTGGAGTACCTCTTGCTGTTATAGTAACAAGGTTTATTATAAAAAATTTAAACAATTAAAAGATTACTGTTGGGGTTTTTTTCCTGCTTTTTATCAGGGTTGTCCCATACGGAGCAAAAAATGCCTTTACCATGCCTGTACAAATGAGCTTTTGGGGAAGGGAAGAAAACAAGGAAGCAGTGCTAGATCAACTAAAAAGGCACGGATTTAAACTGGCTCCTCCTCTGAAAGGTAAGTCTTGCAGTTTTGTTTTTTTTTTCCTTTTTAAAATATTCAGACTGGACTTTCCACTAGTTGGAAGAAATGTTTAAGGGTTTAACCCTTGCCATAGCCTTGTCATTCACAAAATTATTTTTTAGCTTAGTTGGGGAATAATGCAGAGCCTGCAACTATTAATTTTAAACCTCATAGGAAGTATACTTTTGTGTCCTGTCTTTTATGTTACATGCCAGCAATTGGAGAGGCATTTGAGCAACCTCTATTTCTGAGGTTGCTCGATTCTCTAAGTTCCTTAAAAATCTGTTATGATTCCCTGCATTTCTCCAGACTTGAGAGAGAATTTTTTTTTAAGAAACAGGTTAGAGACTTTCATGGGGTGAGAGTTTCCGGGACAGTGCTGCTTTTTAGCAGAGTGCTAGGACATGTATCCTGCTAGTGAGGTGTGGGCAAATACAGATGTCTCTGAACAAATAAGCTTAGCAGACCTGATGGTTTGCAGAGCCAGCCTTTCACAAAAAGCACCTGTGCCTCTGGCTGCTTTGAAGCAGTAGTGGTCAGGAGTGGTCAGTTTTTAAGAAACACAGCTGCCATCTTGAAGGATCCATAGCCAGAGCTCGTTGCCTGTGGGTCTTGTGAAGCTTTGTGGAAAGTCTTTGTGGCCCATTGAAAGTAAAGGTTAAACAGAGGCTAAAAGACTCAAAAGGGTGAAAGATACTGTCTTACAGCCCACAATCTGATCAGCATTGTTAGTCATGAGCCAGGGAAGGTTGAGATTGGAAAGTTATACCATTGTGTTTCAATATACTATCTTCTTAATGGCAAGTAGGTTCAGAATGTGGATTTGGATCAAAGTGGATTTCTGGGAGAGCTGGTCCAAGTTACAGTGCTCCAGTTCATGTTGCTGTGCAGTTGACAGCTGAACAGGTTTGCGTTTCATACTTAAACACCTGGAAGCTGGAATTTTAACAGTGGGGGCCCTTAACTTTTTCATTAGTAAAATAGTGTGTGTGAAGTGGAAGTCTGTTGCCTTTTTTTTTCATTCCTGAACCACAGAGGTGCTTTGAAGACATCTTGAACTTTTGAACTTTTCCATTTTTACACTATAAGCAGATGTTTTAGCTGGGACAGCCTTGAGTCCCATGTGATTTTGGGAGGTTTTGGGTGTTCAATAATTTGTTTTACGTTGTTGTGGTGATGTGTTTTCTTTTCTTTGTCCTAATACTTTACCAGATAACAAGCGTATTAAATTCTCAAATGAAAATAAAATCAGACTTCCAGACTTGTTCTTCAGATTTGTCCCAGGGTGATAGGCAAAGGGTTGGATGGTGCTTTTTTTTGATTTTGCTTTTTGTTTTCTCTTTCAAGTTAGAGTGAAGTAGTTACTCTAGTGAGTGTACAAGGATGTGAATATATTTAGCCATCCCTTCTCAAGCTCTTGCTTGTATTGGCATGTGTTTGTCTTGGAAAAACTGAACTTGATTTTTACTTTTTTATATGTCAGTAGCTGACAAACACATTCCAGCAAGTCAGATCTAAAGTGGTAGACCTGTCTATGCTGATTACCATATGACAATTAGTTGTTATTTAATAGTCATTGATTATTTATTGAGGTTATTTTTAACTGCAATAATTTTAATTGCAATTCTTGTGTTCATTTATGCAGCTTAAAAGTGAATTTGACAAATTGTTTGAGGATCTGAAGGAAGATGATAAAACTTGTGAAATGGAAGGAGCAGAGGTATTTCTTAAGCTGGAAACTGTTTTCAGTAAAAAAAATACTTTAACATCTAGATGCATATTTAGCTCTGTCTGGACACAGATGCTTGAATCAGAAAAAAATTAGTAGATACAAAGGACTTTTTGGAAGAATTTTTTTAACTAAATAAAATGTCAGACTTAATATGCAAATAGTGCATAACATATCTCTTTAATTTGCAGGCTGTTGGCACACTCTTGCTTCCCCATCAGAAGCAGGCTTTAGCTTGGATGGTTTCACGTGAAAACAGTAATGATTTGCCACCATTTTGGGAAGAGAGAAGTAACTTCTATTACAATACACTTACAAATTTTGCAGAAAAGCAGCGACCTAAAAATGTTCTTGGAGGAATACTGGCTGATGATATGGGACTGGTAATAATACTTACCAAGCTTGAATTTTTTTTTATACAGACCATATGTGCATGTTTCTGGACTGGTTGGTCATGTGGCTCATTTTGATCTGTGGAAAATACGACATTCTTTTCTGATATGCAGGGTAAAACGCTTACTACTATTGCGTTGATTCTCACGAATTTTCAAGATGGCAAGCCTCTTCCTGTTGAAAAGATCACAAGTGATAAATTTTATGAGGTGAGATGAAAGAAAAAGATTGTTTTAACAGACTTAATGTAGCAGTTAAAAAAAATCCCTTTTGCTAGTTACTTTCAGTATAGTGAATTCTATACCTTTTGTAGAAAAAGTTACTCAAGTACTTCAAATAAGAGGAGAATAGGGTAGATTAATTGAAGATAGGTGGATGGTGTTCCTTCAGAGTGTATAACTGAGCTACAGACTGTTATACTTAAGTATACACTCCGAAGATACTCCAAAGAAGAATTTATGAAGGCATAAACATTTTCAATGTTAAGTTTTATGAATTCTTAAGTTTCTCGTAAATTTATCCTACAGGAAAGTTGTGACTGCATAAATACAAGTGGTGTGGTTTTGTGGGTGTGTTTGCATAGTTCCTGTGTGGTTTGGTAGAAGTGTCTGAAATGACCAAAATAGCAAGCAGAGCATCTTGGTGTAAAGTACATAAATAAATAAATCTTGGTTTACATTTTTGCCAAATACTTGAAATGGAGAGGAGGGGAAACTACAGTTAGTGAACTAACACTAATGTGCAAATTCTCCTTAGGTAGTGTAGTTTGAGTGCTTTTTGATTTTGTTACAATGTGATTTTCAAAATGATGAAATAAACTAAATGCTAGGTTTAGGTGACTTATTATGCAATATTCCCTGACACATTAAGGCTGGGGGTTTGGTTTTGTTTTGCCATACTTGCCTAAATTTAACGAAATAGTGCTTTGTGTTTGGCCTCAGAATGTTAACTGGGAAATGTTATTAGTGTGTTTTCTTTCTAGGGCAGCTATGTAGACTGAGTTTCTCTCCTCTGCTTTTCTACAGTTTCATTTGAACTCTGTTTGTGGCTACTAAAAAAACAAGTATCTTTTTTTGGCACCTTTAAGTGACTGACTTGCTGCTGAGGAAGTGTTTCATGTTTCAGAGCAGTAATTAGTCACTGGTCAGATTAGTGTAATAATGTTATTGGCATTTTTTCCAGTTGCTACATTAAGGAATAAAAGTTTCCATTCCTCAATAGGGATCTGGTACTAGCAGCATGAACAACGTTGGACGCAGACTATGTAAAGGTGACAGCAAACTATGAAAAGTCCAGTAATGTTTGCATGATAACTAATGTTACTACCTGGGGCATTCTTAGTCTGTGGTCAGTGCTAGTCTTCTCAAACTCTTGACAAAAGAGGTATCTCGGAAAAATATTTAAAACATACCTTTAAAGATGTTTCAGTTGACATGTGAGAAGATTAAGGGCCTTGTGAGAAAGTTGCACCCTGTCAGGAAAGTTACCGCATCAGGAAATGGATTCTGTGTTCCTTTTCCTTTTCTTTTTACTTCTTTGAGGATAAAACAGGAGCACTTATGCATCTGTTAGTCTTGCTCGTTTAAATGGTAGGTGTTAGTAGTTAAATTGTAATTAGGTTCTGTATTAAGTCACATTTTGAAAAAATATTAAGTGATGAGCAAATGACAGGTACTTAGAAAGATTTTGTCACACCTGTAGTTTTCAGGTTGTATGGGAGAATTTATAGATGTATACGAAAAATTACACTTGCTGTTAGTATGCTTTGTAACTCATCATGCTTTTGAAAATGACCAAAGAAATGTACGGGGCTTGCAGTTTTCTTGCAGTAACTTTCCCTCGCTGTCCTCCCATGCAAAGAATTTTAATATGGATGGCACAAGAGAAACAAAGGGGACTAATAAGGAGAGAAGACATTAGTATGGGCTGCTTCTGGTGAATGTTACTTTTATTAGTACTCTGGAAGGGAGAAAATGCAGACTTTCATTGAGGTCAATATGAGTGTCACCAGAAAATCAGAACCTTTAGGAAAACTGAAATGTCTAGCAGCATTCAAGATACTTTTTTTTTTCCTGCAGAGTGTCAAGTGTTTTAACAAGATACTATCTACAGCAGTGAGGAGAGAGCCCACTTCTGCTATTATTTAGTCTGAAAGTGATGATAATGTCTTTCAAACCCTTACATCCCATGCCTCCGTTTCTCATTCTGTTGTACGTTAAATTGATACCTATTTCTTGAGTCTTTGCAAGTTTTGCCGTCTTCAAGGTTGTATTAACTCTCTTTTAAATATTAAAAAAAAAACCCCTGTGCTGAAGTTTAGGTCTGGAATTCAACATGAATTTACTTTCCCGAGTTATAGCAAAACTCTTTCTGTAAGCACTGTTGCTTTCAGTTTTGATATCAACTCTCTCCTAATGTGTTTTCTTTTTTGTGTTTCCTTCTGATAAGCTATTATTGGCAAAGTGCAGAGATGATGTGTTCACTACCTGGTAGAGGACCTTAAAACCAAACAACCCAACAAAACAAAATACCACCTCCCTGCAACGCCCCCAAAACCCCCACAGTCACATCTGTGATGTTACCACATTTTTTTCTGTTAATGTTGCTATTATTCATTTAGTTTTAGGCAATGTAGAATTCATCAATAGTAAGGTTTGACCTGTAGAAAAACTTTACTATTTATCATTATTTAAAACTTCTTTATAGAACTTTACTCTTATTGCTGACAGTACAATGCTTACGTTTGTGTTTTCCTCTTTCCTTGATGGTTTGTTTTTGACCACCTGCAAACTTGGCACACATTTAATGACTTTGTAAATACTTAAGATTGTTTTAAGAGTATTTTTATTTTTCATTTGATTGCAGTGTCAGTAGTAATTCTATGCAGAATTACGGTTGTTTTAAAGCAAGTTTGTTTTTGATCAAGTTATGTTAAAGTTGATGTGACAATCAAGCCGAAGACTGTATATTTTTCATAAATACTGATTTCTTCTTTTTGAAGACTACACCAGTGTGATGGAGACTGGCATTTCTAATGTAAAAAAGCTTGAAACTGCTCCGCTGAAATACTCAAGTTGTCTTCCGAAAAGGTAGGTAGCTGGAATAATCTATTTCTTTCGGTTGGTTTGCTATGTAGATTTTGAGTAAAAGTAAAGCAGTACTTGGTTCTGATTAACCTCAGCCTGAAACATGTTCCTGCTCTCTCCTCACCTTTCAGTATGCTATACTTCTGCTTACATTTACACGTTATCATGTCAGGTATCTGTGGTGGACTATGGAATATATTAAAAAAACGTTGACTCATTCTGTGCAGATTGTGTGACTGCACGTTTGGTTGTCTCCTTCAGTAGTAAAGGTGTCTAATAACATTGGTATGTGGCATCTAAAAAAGCTGCGAAGTAATCTTTCTTCTAGTATCAGGTGGGTTTTTAAGGGGTTAAGAAGTACTTCGCAGGCATGTTTCTGACAGACAGCTTTGAGCTGATGAAGTTTTGAAGCTTACTAAGGTGTTTGGACTTTCCCACCACAGTAGCCTCTCACAATTGGTGTGAACTTCAGTGATAATCTGTAGCAAGTTTTATGAGCATCATTCACCCTGCAGCTCGCTGTGCTGTGCTTTCCCATTTTCTAATCCCTTAAAGAGAAAAATTTTCAAATCAGTGGTATTTTATTTGCAATATCATGTTAATTTGCTTTACGCTCTTGTGACTTTATATATAAAGTCAAGCAGTAGTAGAGATGTGGGGTTTAGTCGGTTGTTTTTTTTTCTTGATGATTTCTTTAGAGATAAAGCCAAGAAACCCAGATATTCAGGAAGCAGTGACTTGGGAGAGTCTGAAGAATGGCTACTGCAACAAACAGAAAGTAAGTTGCAAGGCCTTTTTTTTTTTTTAGTTGGTTACTCTGACACCTGGTGTCTTCCTTTGTGAAGCCAAACTGAAAAGAATTTCTAATTAACTGGAAAAGGAATTAACTAAACTACTTGGGTTGGATTGTTTTGTTTTGTTTTCTATTCAACCAAAACTTTAAGCAGAAAATTCTAGAGATTGCTGAGTGAGAAAGCAATGTTTTAGAATGAGTGGTGGCGTAACAAGCTATGAGTAGGGTTACACAGCTCCAGAAAAACAGAATTGCTAAGATTTTTTTTAGAATATGACATGGACCTGTCAGGGCACTAGAGTTGAAAAGAAAAAAAATCAAGTCCATATTTTGTGGTAAATACCTGAAATGTGATCGTGAAAAGGCAAAAACAGGTGTCATTTGTGGAATTGAGTATCTTGCATACAAAAAAAAAAAAGGAAGGGTTACAGTACTCTGGAGTAAGCAGTTAAGTTTAGGTGTAAAGTACTTAGAATGAAAGCTGTATGGAACTATTTTTATTTTTTTAATGACTGGTAAACAACATTCCTCTGACTATTCATAGCCTGAAATAGATGTATAAGATACTGTATTTCTGGACACATGCTTGTCAGAGTTCAAGGAGCATCAGGATGAGGCTCTTAGCCATATGGTTTAGTTCTGGGTAGTCCTGCAAGGAGCAGGGAGGCTGACTCCATGATCTTTATGGATCCATTCTAACTGGAGATATTCTACATTGTTGTATTGGAGAGGAGAAGTAATTTGATTAACAGGTTTGACTTAAATGAAACATGTCATAAAAATAAACGCACACGTATTTTCTGCGTGGTGTGAAAAACGTTTGTTTTTCTGGCTTTTTGCAGCGACTTCCTGTGTTATCCAAGAAGACACAGGCTCTGCATCTGTTCTTCTACCTTCATCTACTTTTTTAAAAGGACGAACAAAGAGAAAAGGTAATGAAGGGATAAACCGATAATTTCTGAGGTTTTGAAACTGAAGTATGGTAAGTGTTTGACTTAATAAATGGAGGTTATGTCTTTGTAAATTGCTTTGATGCTGTTCAGGTGAAGAAATTTAGAAAGGACTTCAGGGAACCATTCATTTATTGACCAACTTCTTTGCTGTTTTCTCAGGTACCACTAGTATTCAGTCAGTTGAGAAGAAATGTTCTGATGATGGCCCCAGAGCAACACTGATTGTATGTCCATTGTCTGTCCTAAGCAGTTGGATTGTAAGTGCTAAGCTGTTTTAATCTGTAAATGTGGTGATTATGATGCTGTAGAAATAGTACTCCCTACAGTCCCTCATGCTAGTAAAAGGTCACGGTTTTCCTTTTTTTGTGAAACAGAACTGCTTTTGTAAGGGAGGTTTATTTGATAGAAAGTTTAAAAAACGAGTAGTATTGTAATGAGAATGCAGGTCCATGAGTCGCAAGCTCATGACTATCAGAAAGAGCAAGCTCACTTTTCATTCCCTGCTTTTGACTAGGCAGATTCACTTTTCTATTTGAGGAAAATCATGTGATTTAACTCCTTAAACCAGCTGAGGAAGGTGGAGGAGGTGGGTCCTTTTTGCATGCTTAGAATAAAATGTTATTGTACTTTACTGATAACGCATGTGACGTTTCATTTACTAGAGGTATTCGGTGATTTGGCAATCGTGTTGGTTATTTGTGGGAGTAGGTCTGCTAGGGTGAACAGGCTGAAGCCCTTCTAGCTCTGTGCATTCAGGTTTTTTGTTTGTTTTTGTGATGTTTTGAATCCATATATTAAGGGGGTATCTTAACTTTCAAGTTATGTTTTATTTGGAAGATTTTACTGTCTGTAGTCTGGAAGTTGTTGATGTCTGGTTAGAACATTAATGAGAAAAAGAAGCAATTTAATGTAGGTAAAACATTAAAATAATATAATTGGGAAATATCAAATAGTGTAAAAAATACTCTTGTCAACTCAAAACTGAATTAAGCTTTTATTTAATTGAAAAAGAAAACTGGTGAGTCTGGTGCTTCAAAAATCAAGTTGTTGCTTTTTATTGCCTGTCAAAATTACTGTATGCTGCTGGGTGCTTCAGGGAACAAATGTAGGGAATATTAAACACTGGTTTTGAAAAAAGAATACTTTGACAATTCTGCTGTCATTTATGCTAAAACTTAGGCTGTTAACCCAGTAAGGGGAAGAAGCTGTAAATAAACAGTGAAAGAGCAAATGGAAGACGAAGGTAGAAAGTGAAAAAATACAAAAGCTCTTCCATTTACACTTTGGGATTTTGAAGTGCATATACTGTCAGGATGTGAATTAATCCTCTGTAAGAAGTAGAGCAAGAGTTATCAGAATGTGATACTGTGTCTATTAGTAATGACTGAGGCGACTTCTTTTGGCCCCCCTTTTCACCTGAGCAGAGGGGTAAAAAGTAACCCAAATTGAAACTGCTTTTATTATCTAAGTGGACATAGAATATCACAGAGGTAGAGGAAGTGCTTTTAAGTTAAGGCAACTTACAATAATAGTATTCTAAAAATCATGTAGTAAAACAATATCTTTTGGATTATTTTTGACAACTTTTTCTTTCAGGACCAGTTTGAACAACATATCCACCAAGATTTTAATGTAAATATTTATGTTTATTATGGCTCTGACCGTAGCAAAGACCCATCAGTTCTTTCAGAACAAGACGTTGTACTGACAACATACAACATCTTAGCTACTGATTATGGAGTAAGTAAATGAGGAAGTGCTCTTTGAAGTTTTCTTACTGTTCAGGACTCCTGGTGTTTGGGCTAATGATGGCAGTACATTCAAGTGCTATTCTGGCAGGCAATCAAAAGGTTATAGCTGTAGTTTTGCTTTACGTACTTTCTTATGGGTTCATTGTGGTAAAGGGAGGTTTTTGTTGATTGGTCCTGTAGAGAAAATTATTTGACTGCGATCATGACAGCTTAAGGAAGAGACTTTTTAAGGATAGAAAAGAATGGCAAGTGTGTAAATCTCCCCAAATCTCAGTGGCACAAGGCTCCCCTTTCTGCCTTCTGCTATCAAATTCAAAGAATATGGAGCATATAAAACCATGATTCTGTACTTCTTGTTGCACATGGGCTGCAACCAAGTTGCTCATTTTCTATTAAAACGTCAAAAGTGATGTTTTAATAGAAATTCAAGCAGTTTTAAAAGCTTGATTATGTCTTTAAATACAATATAAACTTTTAATTTTCTCTGATCCATCTTCCATATCTCTGTGTCTTTGGAGCCTTTTTTCTTTTCAGGCTTAGCTTATTTTTATTGTAGTATGAGAAGACTGGTAACGTTTTCCAGGAATCATTAAATCTAAAAGAAGGAACACCTCATCCTTAGGTTTGCTTTTCTTTGCTGATAGATAAGATGTGAACAAATACTATCTGTTACTAATTGTCGAATTGTTGTATTAATAGCTTGTTTAATACAAATTGGGAAAAATATTTTGAGTCAAACATTAAAATAACAACTGCGTTTCAGATTGGAGGTGACAGCCCTTTACACAAAGTCAAGTGGCTGAGAATTGTGTTGGATGAGGGGCACACTATACGAAATCCAAATGCTCAGCAGACTAAAGCTGCCTTAAATCTGGAGGGACACAGAAGATGGGTACTTACAGGTAAAATATTTGACACCAGAGGAAATGCAGTGCAAATCGTCTTAGTGTAAGACCATGTTGTCTTTCCACTTTGGATTTTTCTGGGAGATGGTTAATATCTTTGTGTCAGATTAATTTGGAATGTTTTTAAACTTGTCTTTGAGCAGTGATTTAGATGTGTCTTTTAGTTGTTTTTGATTTAGTTTGCTTGGGGTTTTTTGTTTTATGTTTTGTAGTTTTTGGTTTGGCTTTTTAGCTTTCGTTTTTATTCAGTTCATAGACGCAAATTTTAAAATAACTTTTGATACACAGGTTTAGCAGAAGTGCAAATAAAAAGGTACCTATAGATGAACCGGCATGTTACATCTGGTTAGATGCTCACGCCCTTATGTACTTACCTGAATCTCAGTAGGTTTTTGAAATGTAGTAGTCATCCTAAAAGCTGCCAGAGACCATGCAAGCATGTGATCCTTAAATGTAATTGAAAGATGATCATGATGTGTAACCACTGCTGGTGATGCTGAAATGGACATCTAAGTCTTCCTAGCACTAAGAGCTGCAGCCTTCTCACTCTTCCATATATGTAATATTTTAATTTAAAAAAATGTTTTGTACTTAATGACTTCTCAAACTAGTTGAGAGACCTTGTCCATGGTGTATGCTTTGGAAAAATCACAGAACTTTAATGTCTAATGAAAATCTGTTTGGTTTGGTTTGAGTTTTAACAATGTTTTGTGTGTTTTCTGTTTAGGCACTCCTATTCAGAATTCTGTAAAGGATTTGTGGTCTCTTATTTCCTTCTTAAAACTGAAACCTTTTACTGATCGAGAGTGGTGGCACAGAACAATTCAGCGTCCAGTCACAATGGGAGCTCCTGGAGGACTTGGGTATGAAGGGCAGTGCTTTAGCAATGTGACAAATTAGCATTTCACAGTTAAAATTGGAATGCATCTGTCATCAGTTCTGACTTAATTTTTTTTAGTTCAAACCAATAAATTAAGTAATTAAATGTATTTAATATTTCAGATTAATGACTTATATTGTACTACTGGGGCTTGGATTTTGTACAGAACTTGTATTTATGCAATAAATTGAAAAAACCCCAAACAACCAACCCCAGATGGGTAATATATTGTCTATGTATGTGTTTTTAGGCGCTTACAGTCTCTGATTAGGAGTATTACCCTTAGGAGAACTAAAAGAAGTAATGTTAAAGGAAAACCCATTTTGGAGTTACCAGAACGTAAAGTACTTATTCAGCATGTTACGCTTACAGAGGAAGAGAGACAAATCTATCAGTCTGTGAAGAAGGAGGGCAGAGCTGCTATCAGCAGGTAAGTAGGCTTTCTTCATCTGAAGGTTGGAGTTTGATATCACAGACTTGTGTTTCAGGAGTTTTATGTTAGCTCTAGTAGCCAAGTGTGTCAATTTGTATGGTGTAAGACAATAAATAATTGCAAATTAGCGTAACATCTGTTTACTGCTAAAGTGAAGTAGAGACTATTGCAGAACTATGTCAGAAGTTGTCTTGCGAGAAAGAGAAAGGGATACCAGATACATAAAGAATGGCCTTAAAATTGTTGGCATTTATTCTAGTAGAACATGCTACGGGTAGTGTTTTGTACCTTGTTTCAGAAGAGGATTTGAGAAAATTTATTCAAACAGGAAGGTGAAAAATCAGAACATAATGCTAATAGCTAAATGTGATCACTTGATGTCGTTGTTACTTCAGGCTGTAGCTTTTCACACTAATGATAAAACTCTTCAGATTTTTCAGTGAAGGGACTGTACTAGCTCACTATGCTGACATCCTTGGTGTCCTGCTCAGATTGAGGCAGCTTTGTTGTCATCCTCGTCTTTGTAGAAATACATCATCTTCTAGTTTTTCAGCTGGTGAGTAAATGCTTTTGGTTCCTGTGTTTCTAAAAACAGGACTTGCACTTTGTATTAAGAACAGAAACATGTTTGCATGTTTTCCAAGCTTTCTAGCTTCAGCTCTCCTCTTTGCAGCTTGCTTTTTGGCTTTTACCCACTGTTAGCCTTGTTACCTTAATTTTTTTCATATCGTAATATGTTTGAGAAGTGGGTACTTGAGCAGATGCTCAAATGTGAATGAAGGCAATGAAATGTGAGAAGTTACAAAGGCTAGAAGCAAGAGTTAATGAGCTTTGACAGCCCATACAGAAATGACCAAAGAGGACCTCTGCAGAGCCAAATGCAGAAGGCTTGTTAAAAAGCAGTCTATTTGTTGTAATAATTTTCAGAAGTGCTGTACCAGCAAATTTTTTTTTCTTGCCTCAGGAGAGATGATGTGGAGGAGCTTTGGGGAATGGCTTGTAGATTGGTAGCCATGTCAGCAGAACCATTGCCTCTTAAGCAGGATAGGAAACTGTTCACTTTTGTTACGGCTATAAGGAAGGGTGAACGCAGAGGACTTGAAGGAGAGTGAAACTTTATTTTTGACAAGTCGGAACTGTACATCTGCACAGTGTTAAAAACTATATGCATTTCTTTCAGCAGAAAATATAGTCTGTTTGAAATAAGAAATTTGAGAATTCTCAAATTTAATATTTTGAAAAAATCATATTTTGAGATGCTATTGGTATAGGTGGAATTTTTCAGGAAACCGAAAGACCAATGAGATGTGGTCAGAACCTTTTTTAGAAGGTTGTGATTTCTTCCTGAAAAACACAGGATGGAGAAATGATTGTATAATTGTTCACTAATTACTTAAAAATTAATTAGTAAGTATGATTTGAATTTCTTTACTTAAAAGTAAAGCAGTCTTAAATGTAAATAGTGTCATCGCCATAGTATTGCTACTACATGAACAGCTGCCATATGAAGATTGCTTATTCCATTAGGCATTGTTGCACGTGTACCTATCATTGAGCATGCCGTTGAAGTTCTTTGAATTCTAATTAGCATTTTTCCAAGTAAGATTACTCTTAATGTGTTTTTAAATAGTAGGTTGGAATTATCTGTAGGGTTTGGCAGCTTGTGGGTTTTATACCTTTTAGGCTATATCCTCGTTGTGCATAAACTGTCCTAATTGTGTTTTGATCAATGGAACTGTGTTGATGTGTGCCAGCAGAGTGTTTCTCTGTATGAAAATCTCTGGTTTTAAGTATGCTTCTATATTTGCAGATAATAAAACTTCTGAAGAACTGCGTGAGTCATTAGTGAGTAAAATGAAGTTGGTTCTGAGCTCTGGTTCAGATGAAGAATGTGCAGTTTGCTTGGAATCGCTGACTCTTCCTGTGATAACACACTGTGCACATGTGTTTTGTAAGCCATGTATTTTTGAAGTCATCAGAAGTGAACAGGTTGGTTATTGAATGGTTACAGTTAATTATAGTACTTTGTCCCTAGGGTAAAAGTGGTGGCATCCAATGCAGCATTGTATACCTCCATATGGCTGGATGCCTCTTCATTGCTTGCATGTGATGTGATGCATGTATATATTGTTGTGGCTAAAAGACACCAAAGCTGTGTATTGGAAGTTGACTGTTAAACAAAAATCATGTCTACTCTCCTTACTCCAGGCTGATAACCTCCTATGGTGAAGTAGCTGCCTTGCTAGAGGGCCATCTTTATGGCCCTTCTGGACTTTGTTCAGAATAAGTTTGTGGATGAGCATCTTTTGATTGCTTTTTTGAAAAAACAGAGTATTTATTGTTCCTGTGTGCGTCTAAGCTATACTTCTTGTTTGCCCTTTCCTTTCTAGGGCAGTCTGATAGTGTGTTAGTCTTACCATCTGTATCCAGTGCTGCTGCACTTCCCCTCTGGAATTGTTCTGCCTCCTACCCAGCCACAGTAGAGCTGCAAGTGCCAGGCTAAACCTAGGTGGTGTTCTTTATAGGAGGCAGCAGGGGACAAATTAGTCCCTGCTTGTGCATAATCAGTCAACCTAACAAGACAAAGGTAGGAAGTGGTATCTGTCTGTAGATTGACTTTGTTTCATTGCCAGATGTGAAAAGTTCTGATACAGAAATCCCAGTTGAGAGTCTGAGAATTTTGAGGGGAAACCAGAGACATGAAACTGCTCTCTAAGGAAAGAGCACGTGCTCTTTCGTAGTGCAGAGGCTCTTGATGTGTCCGTAGCAGAGTTGGTGCCCCGACTCAACCTTCAGGTATATTTAGGCACACAGAGAAAAAATTGGGTTATGACGTGATGGAACCAGTATTGCTTGACTGTTTACTATGCCTTGCCTAGAAAGGACCTTGGAATCTGCAGAACTAGGGCCTTTGTCCTATCCCACAGATTGCTTTCATAGTCAAGTCTGAACAGAGGTGGGTGTAGATTCTGCTCTTCTGAAGTTGAACTGTCATGAGTTTGTAAAGCAGTGAGTAAGCCTTTCTTACATTCAGAATGATTTCTGACTTAAATCAATTCCCAAGGAAGTTTTTGCAGCTTCCAGCCAAAATGCTGAGCTACATCTAAATTCCAGAGTTGGGGAATTGACATTAAAACAATCTTTTCTTTTTTCCTTCTAGTTGTTGATTGTGAGACACTTTTTGTCACTTTCGTATGCTTTCAGTGCAAGTCTTAGGTATCTGTGTTGGCATTGTGCAGCTGTGTTTTGGGTTTTCTGTTTTTAATTACAGTACTAAATTGGAGAAGGGATACAGAAAGATGTGAGCCTTTTATTAAAAGTCTTTGAGCACTGTTAGGATTTTTTTTTCCGGAAAGCTTTTTCAGATTTATTAGAATTCACTTACTTTGTCTCATCATTGGAGGATTTTTGGATTTGCTGCCAAATCGGGAGTGGTTCATTTGTAACTGTTTTGGAGACTGTTATTTCAGATTTGTTTGCATTAAGATTCTCTTTCTTGAAAGGATATCTTTATTGCTGCAGTAAAGTCATGTGTGCAGTCTGTGACTGCCAGCCTCTTTAATTGGCTAGAGGTTCATTCTGGATTAGCAGCCCCCAGTATTGATCTTCTTTGCAGCCTGTCTAAAGATGCCTTGGCTCTGTGGCCAGATTGCTGTATAAACTGAGTTAGCTAATTTTAAAGGGTTGCTCGGTTAGACAAAAGTTTTTCGTGTCTGTTATTTTTGCTTCAAAAGTTGTGCGTTTGTATAGTGCACACAGTCTTTTGTTAAATTTTGTGAGTAGTTCTATGGAAGTGCTATTGTATAAATTCTAAACTTTGCCTTATCTAGAGTATGCTTCAGAAGCTTTTGGTGTTAAATTATGTCTCATTTCTCATGTCTGTTGGGGAGAAAGAGAAGATACACTGTGTCTGGCCCTGACAAAGCATATTTCATCAGACTGCTATTATTTCTGTGCAGGCTTTGGAGAAAAAGGGTAAAAGGTCATTCTTTGTTTGTAACGAAGAAAGATCTTGTCTTTGAAAGGTGGTTTATTTTTCTGGTGTTTTAAATAGTCTTCTCCCCGTAGCCCTGGTATTTGCTTGCTTTTAAATCTTGAGCTGCTTATTTCAAGTACAAATATGCTCAGAAAGACCACTTTTAAGGAAGGCTGAGTGGTTTTAAAATGCGTGGTGTTTATCTCACCTTAATTTTCTGAGAAATAAAATATTTTTATTGTTATGTCAGAAATTACAAAGCAGTGTGTTACAAGAATGAATGTACTCCTTGAGGATTTTTAGGTGAATATAATAATTTCATAAAACGTGCTTTGTGAAGGTCATGGTTAGTACTCATTGTAAATCATTTGGTTTAATATGTTTCTTCTAACGTTGTTCGGGCTTTTTTGTAGCCAAATGCCAGATGCCCTCTCTGTAGGAATGAGCTGAGAGTAGAGCACTTGGTGGAATGTCCCCTAGAAGATGAAATAGACTCTAATAAAGAAAAGAAGTCTGATCAGGAGTGGATATCCAGTTCAAAGGTACATTCCATTGTGTTTTACTTGGCTTTCATTATGGTTTTGTAGAGCACTGTCTAGAGTTTTTTGTGTAAATATGCTGAACATACTTTACATATACATAATATATTTAAAATTATTATTTAAAAGTCTGCACAGTGTGTCTAGCCAGTGAAGGAGAAAAATAAAATCTCATCACAAACAAATTTTACCACAGGAAAATTAGACAAAAGGAGCAGCAGTTGTAATTTGATGCTGGTCATTGCACGGTACCATAGATGTATAGTAAGTAAATAGAACTTTCAGTAAAAGAGCTGTTGCTTTGCCTTTTGTTTGTTTCTGAAGATAGAGTGGTTCTATAACCACTGAAACTATTCAGCTCTGAATTTACTTTTGGAAACAAAATCTAAATAGATCCTTCTCTCTTAAAACTTGTCTAAAGAATATATATTCTGCTGTAAAGGGGAAGACTAAATGGGTGTCATATATTCGATAATAACACTTTACAGATAAACTAGTGAGATATTTTTATTTTATTTTGCAGATCTGTTTCTCAAGGTCTGCCACGTTGTTTTTTGCCTTACCTTCACTGTGCATTTGCTTCCAGAAATTAAAGTCTTCTTGCTTGTACTTTGACCTTTTCGGTCTGAGATTTGCTTTTGTGAAACATCAAATTCTTAATTTTAATTTGTAATGAAATTATTGTTCTTTCAAAAGTTGGCTATAAATTTATTCCCTAAAAATCTTTCTGTGAAGATTAAGAACTAATTTAGGACAGGGTTTTCTTAATTATTCTTTTTACCTGGTGCAGTTACTTGCATTTTCTAGATAATGGTTCTTCACCTCATTGTGGGTAAACCTTATGCGAGAAAACTGTCAGTGTTTGTCTGCCTCTGATCCAACTGCTTGCTCTTTCTGTTCTCATGTTGGTCCCAAGAGTGCTTCTGGTGCCTCCTTATCCTCTGTTGTGCCTAGCCAAGGGTCTTGCATAGCTTATTTGCCTGAATACTCCTGGCGGAAGCCTTTGTCACTTCTCCGGGTGTTGCTACAGTAGAGCACTTGCCTTGTGGCTGTCCCTTGCTTAAGCCTTACTTTTCAGAGTTCCAGTACCCTAGGAGGTAGGGGGCTTGTTGACTCCTGACAGCGGGAAGCACGTCTACAAAATGCGTTTGTGAATCCTCCTCCCCAAAGCACCATCAATCACCCTGTATTTGTGACCATTTAAAGTGCTCAACTCTTAGTTTCCTTGGGAAACTAAAAAATCCTACCCACAGAATTTAAGAGTAGTTTGTTTAAAAGGTATTGCTGAACAGTGATTTCTCAATTGATGTGAACTTTAACAAAGCACCTGTAGGAGTTGAATCTAACCAAGTCAGAATAAGATGCATAAGTCTTCATTGTATTTCAGATAAATGCTCTTATGCATGCTTTGATAGAACTACGGAGGGATAATCCAACTGCTAAATGTCTGGTTGTTTCTCAGTTCACAACTTTCTTGTCGCTGATAGAAAATCCCTTGAAGTAAGTAGAACTACTGTAATTTCTAAAATGCCATAAAAGTACATCTTTACTTAAAAACATCTCTCAAAGAATATCGTATCAGTTTGATTTATAGAACTTCAGAAGAAGAACAAATTAAATACTTTTAGTGGAATAAAGCCATGAATCTCATTATTTTTAATGTATCACCTGTTAAACGCAGAAATTTAAATAGGCATTTCAAAGTAGAGGTCTGGATTTTAAAGTGTTTATTTCCTGTTGTCACAGAAGATGGATTGTTAAATTGAACACTTTTACTTTCTCTTCAGAGAATCAGGGTTTGCCTTTACTCGTTTGGATGGGTCAATGGCACAGAAGAAAAGAGTAGAAGCAATTCAGTGTTTCCAAAGCAGCCAAGCAGGATCCCCAACTGTAATGCTTTTGTCTCTGAAGGCAGGTGGAGTTGGATTAAATCTGACAGCAGCTTCCCGAGTGTTTTTAATGGATCCTGTGAGTAATTATCTGGCTTAATCTAAGTGAAGCTCCTTTGGTGTTTTCCTAAGAGGTAGAAGGAAGGCCCCTCTGAGAATGAACAACACTGACTTATCTGTTAAAGGGCAAATAGTGCTTTTCTCTGTTTCCCCGCATGTTTTTGTTTTAACACAATATTTTTGTGCTGTCCATTTATTTACTCTTCATGGAAAGAATGTAGTACTGCTAACAAAAGTGGTGTCACACCTTACAGTGTAGCATTTGTTATCTCTTCCTTCTCTATTTCTTTGATACTTTTGAATGTGGCTTTCCAAAAGCCATAAAGTGGAATTTCAGGAAGAGTGTATTTTTTTTGTGTTGTTATGCAGTGCTTCTCTGCTCTAGTCTCTTCTGTTGTTTTTGTGAATTTATTTATAGATACAGACATTAGTCTGAGGTTACTTCTTGTCGTTGTAGGAGACTGAGAAAGATGGTGATAACTGAATTTAGGAAGTTGTTTTCCTTTCATTAAAGCACTCAGGAATGCAAAATTATTGGTGGGGAATAAAAAATGTAAAATACAATTATTGATAGCAAAATGGTATTCTTAGCAGATGTGGTTCATGTCAAAGTTTTTCTTTGCAATTCTTCCCTTCCCCACTATTTACTCCTCTGCTCTGCTGTCCCAGTTTTTTGCCAATTGGAAACAGAGACAAATTCTGCAGTTTGTGCCCTTGAAAACAAAACCAAAATAAATGAAAGTGGTAGTGTAGCTTTGGTCTTGGGCATCTGGTAACACCAATAGTAAAGAAAAAGTACTAGCTGGGACATCAGGTTTGCGATAATAACAGCGTGAAGTCAAAAGCTATTTACCTAGTAAACTAAAGGAATTACATATGAGTGGAGAAGTTGCCTTGGAAAAAGGTTTTTCATGATTTGAGATACATATCCACAAGTACTGTTTCTATATGTGTGGCATTGAATAGTTAGTTGGAACTGACCTACAACACCGTCTAGTCCAACTGCCTTTTTTTGAACCATTCTTTGAATAAGAAAACTTGTGGGAAGTCCAAGAGAACTTTCATTTTCTGTGAAGATAATTAATGGGGTATAATGTATACACTGTCCTGTGGCAGCAGTTGTAAGAAAATAAGCTAAGCATTGTTAATACTGAGTCATCTGCAGTATATAGTTACACCTCACAAACCAGAGCCAAATATAATTGCAGCCTTTATACACCATTGAACAACTTCTCATCCTGCTGGTAACCATCCTAACTGGCAGTGGTTGGCTATTTGTATTTCATGAAGGGGCAGTGGGACAACATGATCCTTATGATCTCACTTTTCAGTGTTCAGTGCTGAATGAGATTCAGTCATGCATTAGCATTCCTTGGAGTGAAATGGCAGCAGTAATAGGATTTAAGAAGCAGAAATAGGTCTGGAGCCAGTGGAGTAACCAGTTTTTCTGCTGATATTCTGTGGATTTGATGTACAACTTGTTCCCCAGGGGTCAGTACTAGGGCCTGTCTTATTCAATATATTCACTAGTGACCTAGATGAAGGCACAGAGTGTATCCTCAGCAAATTTGGTGACAATACAAAGCTGGGAGGAGTGGCTAGTACAGCAGAAGGCTATGCTGACATTCAGTGAGATCTGGACAGGCTGGAGAGCTGGGCGGAGAGGAACCAGATGAGGTTTAACAGGGGCAAGTGTAGGGTCCTGCACTTGGGGAGGAATAACCCCATGCACCAGTACAGGTTGGGGGTCAAACTGCTTGAAGAGTAGCTCTGCAGAGAGGGACCTGGGAGTTTTGGTGGATAATGGGATGACCATGAGCCAGCAATGGGCCCTTGTGGCCAAGAAGGCCAATGATATCCTGGGGTGCAGTAAGAAGACTGTAAGAAGAGTGTGGCCAGCAGGTCAAGGGAGGTCATCCTCCCACTCTACTCTGCCCTGGTTAGGCCACACCTAGAGTGCTGTGTCCAGTCCTGGGCCCCCCAGTTAAAGAAGGACAAGCTACTGGAGAGAGTCCAGCGAAGGGCTACAAAGATGATGAGGGAGCTGGAGCATCTCTCCTACAAGGAGAAGCTGAGAGACCTGGGGCTCTTTAGCCTGGAGAAAAGAAGACAGAGGGGACCTTGTCAACATTTCCAAATATCTAAAGGGCGGGTGTCAAGAGGATGGGGCCAGTGGTGCCCAGTCTCAGGATAAGGGGCAACGGGCACAAACTGGAGCACAGGAAGCTCCACTTGAACAGGAGGAGGAGCTTCTTCACTCTAAGGGTGGCAGAGCGCTGGAACAGGCTGCCCGGGGAGGTTGTGGACTCTCCTTTTCTAGAGACATTCAAAACCCGCCTGGACGCGTTCTTGTGTGACCTGCTGTAGGTGAACCTGCTTTGGCGGGGGAGTTGGACCAGATGATCTCCAGAGGTCCCTTCCAACCCCTGCTATTCTGTGATTCTGTAACTGTAGCTTAGAGGTCTGCATTCTTTCTCTGAGAGGTGTTCTACTGCAGTGCAAGAGAGGAATGTTTAACTAACCATAGACTACTTTCTCCCCCTCCTTTTTTTTTTTAAGTGTTTGTTTAAATACAATTATATCTGCTGAATTCTCACCTTTAGGAAGAAATACAAACCTTTAATGTGACAGTATCACAAGTATACAGAAATTTCTCTGAGGCTCAAGTTTCTTCATATTTTCCTGTGTAAGATACAGTATCCTTTGTGTAAGGTATTGCAGAAGGGCATAGAGGAATTGCAATTCAGTTTTCCATTGCTGGACTGATGAGAGAAGAGTGAGAATAGTATGCTTTGGTCCTCCTCGACTACAGCAAAGGTAGAATGGAACGTGCTTGTGCATGTTTGGGCTAGGACTTTGCTTAAGACATCATCCTGTTCGTACAGTCAGATTTGTATTGGAACAGTTTGCCATAGATGGCTTGCCAGGAATGTTCATCTTGCAGTGGCAGATACATAATTTGTTGCACTTCTGCTCACTGCCTTAGACTGGAGAAACAAGATTTGTTTGGCTTTTATCTTGCAGCTTGATGTCCTAAGTGTCTTTAGGCATCGGAATTTTTTGTGCGAGCCTAGTGCTGGTTCACCCCCCCTTCTATTGTAAGGAGTCATTAAGTTCCTAGATAACTTTCAGTATGTAGGTGACATAGAAAGGCGAGCCCCTTGCATGACACTTGCTTATCACACAGAACACTATTACATTTTAGGTAGATTTAAATATCTGTTCTGTGAGAACCAGTAGTGCTATATGGTACATAGAAAAAAAGCATGCTGGAAAAATGCAGAGCACAGACTTGCTATTTCACAAATTCGTATGTTTAGTATTATATCCTGAGTGTAAGTAGGAACGGCTATGCTACCATTTTGTGTTCGGCAAGTTTCTTGTTTACCTAACTGGGTGATAGTTGCATATACTAATGGAAGTATCCATGGGCTTTCTTAACAGTCAGGGGACTTAATCTACTGAAAACTGCCTGTGCTCAGCTGGTTTAGATTTTTCTATCAGGAGAAGGGTACTGAGGCTGTTAGTATATGCAGTGTTTATTGAAGAATTAAAATGATCATGAGGTTGCTCTGATGGCTTCTAGACTCCTGACAAACTTAGTTTTTTAAAGCATTCATCAGAAGTTCTCAAAGCTTTCTTTATAGTGGGATACTTAGGGAGTGAGGCATTAGGTTGGGAGTAATTAATCTGCAAGCAATATTTGTTCAGGAGGTGGTGGTACAGTAACTTCTCTGTGATTTCATGTGCATCTTACTGTATATTTTGAAAGGAGGTTATTTAACTTGTTCATTGCTGCTACTGGTAGGCTTGGAATCCTGCTGCAGAAGACCAGTGTTTTGACAGGTGTCACAGGCTGGGTCAGAAGCATAATGTTGTTATTACTAAGGTGAGTTGAGAGATTATCTGTTTGAACAGTTTTCTGGTTATGAATAAATAAATAATTTTCCCAGAAGCTTTACTGTATTTTTAAAAGAACTGTGGCACCGTATGACTTGCCAGGAAACTTAAATTGTGGTGTGATTTATCAAGTGTGGGCTTTTGATTAAGATTTTATTAAATGTAACCTATTTCCTGTGAAATAACAATTTGGGAAATTTGATGTCCCTCTTGAGCTCTTTGGAGTGACTATGATGGGGTAGTACTGCTGTTGCCTAGCCTGGCTATTACAGTTCATTGTAGGATGCTTTTGCTTTTGTCAGAGCAGCTTGTTTAGCTGCAGAAGAGCAGCTGGTCTGTCTCATTAATACCCAGTCACAAAAATATTACCTGGGAAACTGAAGACAGGTTCTCTTCTAATATAAGTAGCAAAGAAGAGATAGATATTCTTCCAATGTTTAAAATTTAAAAAAAAAACGGGGGGGAAAAAAAGCCAAACCTTTCCCTCCAACTGCTTTATAACCTTTCCTTTGTGGGTTCTTCACAAAGTAATTACAAAATAATGTAGCTATGCTTTAGGCTACTCAGCTCTTTAACTTTTTTTCCTGAAGTACCTAAACTTCTAATTTAAAAAAAAACCCAACCAAACAAACACCGGCAAAACCCCCTTCATTTCAGTGGGGCTTTTCTTGTATTTCAGTTCATTGTGAAGGATTCAGTAGAAGAAAATATGCTGAAAATTCAGAACAAGAAGAGGGAACTTGCAGCAGGAGCCTTGGCTACCAAAAAGCCTTCAGCAAGTGAAGTCAAACAAACCAAAATTAATGAAATTAAGGCTCTAATTGATTTATAGCTTGAAACTGTGGTATTTTGAGTAAATATATTTAGTATTTCTTCAAGTTACATGTCTGATGGTAACTTTTTAGTTTCACTGTCTTTGTGGTCAAACTGTAAATGCTTCAAGTAAGTTACAAAAACTAATTTGTTCCTGTTAAAGTGTACAAACTTGTTTTGTACTGAAATCTTTCCAGTGTTCATTTCGCAAAATGTGGTTATTATGTACAATACTTAAGAATACATAAAAATCCCTCAAACCAGAAATGTGTATTCATGCATTCTGACTTGCAAGATTTAATCTCTTGTTGGAGGTGAAAACATAACAAAAGATACTGTGTCTTGTCCTTCAGACAAAACCGTTAAGAAATGAATCAGCTTAATGTTTCAATCTCAGTGTTTGCTGATAAACAGATCATCTGGATTGTTTGTTTCAGAATAGGTGGTCAGTGATTCACTTCATAAGGAATTCTTACTTTTGCAGACTATGTTCAAAGATGTAATTAATTCAAAATTTTAAACTTTTTTGCTATTTCTGAATAATACACAGGTGCAGCAGGGAGTTCTTCTGATTACCTCCCAGGAGCTAGTAAAAATGAAAGTACTTAACTTTGTAAAACACTTTCTTTTAATATTTTACTTCCCTTAAATAGAATTCCATTGATATTTTTGTAAAAGTGAAGGTTTTGTGATTTGGATAAAATGCTGGAATCGTAGGTTGTATTGGTAACACACTTTCTAATAATTTCTGTACACACTTTGAACAATGACTGATATATACAAAGCAGAATGACCCACTCACTTGTCAGTGAATCATTTAGCCCTTGCGAAATAAATTATTTTAATAGCTGCCAGCTTTCTAACGGTTTTCCTGCAAAACTGCTATTCCAGTCCTATACATAAGTCTTAATGGAATGCTGATCTGCTTGTGTCTTGATTTATAGAGGAAGAATTTGGTAAACTACTCCTGTTCATGTACTGCAAAGTAATAAATAGCACTGAAGAATCTCAGTTGAATATATTTTTTGCCCATTCCTTCTATCTCCTTCCAATTGATTCTGGTCTTCTGTATGTGTTTTCTTAACACTCTGCTGCCTTCCCTGTAATGCTTAGACTTCAAATTGGAGGCAGAGATTGCTATGTTTAGATTCAGGAAGTGCATTTGGCAGCAGAGAAGTGGAATCTGATTTGCTTCTAATGCTTTTCACATTTTCTTATCTCTGAGAAGACCAGCCATCTGATTAGATGATGAATTGCAAACATAGGAAATGGAAAAGACTGAGAAATAAAGGGAAGATGTCTGATACTTGCAGAAACAGTGAGCCAATGGAAGGAGTGAGAAAGGAGTTCAAAATATGTATTCTAACAAGCTGATGCAGTTTTTGGGGAACCAGCATCTTAGCTATGGAGAAAAGTGTGGGTTAAGTCTGATAAAGAAAGAAGTAAAAAAAGACAGGAATGGCAGAAGACAGTGTGAACCCCAGTAGTTGGTTGTCACTGGAAAGCTGACAAATGAACGAGAAAACGGCTACACCTGATTGAAACTTTTTATTGCATAGAGTTTATGTAAGTTAAACTTTCTTTGGGTTTTTTTGTGTTTCAGATTCTGATGCTTAGAGATAAGATGGAGAAATAATTCCTGATTATGAACGAGAGATTTGCCTTTGTGTCATTCTTTCCATTTTTCAAGTTAAAATTCCATGAGGAAGAGACCTTTTCAATGGCTAGTCAAGCTACATCATTACTTGTGTTAAAATATGCTGACATTTTGCAGAGTGACTGAGTTATGAAAACAATTACTAGTATCATTTTTCCTCTACTAGATGATGGTTTCAATATTTCAAAGCCAAATAAAAACTCACTGGACTTAGTACTAAGCTGTATGGCTAATTAAGGTCTCTCCCAAGAAAGCCACTAATGTATTTGAGAGAACAGTTAAAGGTCAAAGCTGAGAGCAGAAAAGTCCTGCCTGATTTGATGGAGCTGTTAAGTTACTTGGGTGGTTAAAAACGAAAGTGTTGTGGTTGTTTGGGGTTTCTTTTTGCTTTTCATGATCTTAAGTAGTCTTTGGCTATTGGTATTCTTTCTTGGACTTCTAAGTATGTTCTGTGGCATGTTCTAGAAATAAGCTTTTGGAATTATGAACCGAACATTTTTACTTCCAAAGATGGAGTTAGTAGGCTTTTTTTATGCCCCACATAAAGATGTAAATGGAAAACGAAGAATGCTTCTAGAGTTGTCCTGAGTTGTCACCATCTAAGGAACACCTTAGATTATATGCTTTATAAAGGCAGATGGAGTTTGGATACTTGAGTTGTGATCTAAGCAGGGCTATGATTCTTTTGAATAATGATGTTTTGAGTCTAGTGCTTTAATTCAGGTACTGCTTTGACTACCTACAGTTTAGAGCAGAAAACTGTTTGATGCATTAAGTGATACTATTACGAGGGATAAAAAGGGATCCCTCTTTCTGCAAATGCTGCCTCCAGTAATTGTGAAGGAGATAGTGGCAGATAATGACATAAAGGTCATTTTATTGAAAATAAGCTGCATAGTTTGGTATAGATGTCATACCTTTTGGTTTCCTGAGGCTGTGGTTAAACATTTGACTTTAGTATGAGTCACAGAGGTTAGGACAGAATGGTGCTGTAGGTTTTCTTTCTTTACTAACTATATTTGTTAACCCAAAACATGCAGGTTTTTCATCTTATTCAGCATTTCTCTTCATCTTCTTGTATTAACGTAACAAAACTTACATGCTAAACCAGATTTTCAGGTTGGTATAGTCTCACACTTTCAGTTCTCTCCAACTAAGATTAAAAAGAAGTAACATGCCTATTCTCTAGTACAAATACAGACAAGGGGAGCAAAACTGTTCAGCTGTCTTCAAAAGAGTATTTTCCTGTTTTCCATAGGGTATTTTTTGAACATGCATAACTAATATTTGTACTCGTTGGATAAAGTATACTTTTGTCACTATAGATTGTAACTAGTAATCCCTCCTGCTTTCACACAACTTCAAATTTATCTGTTAAAAAAACCCAACACAGCAAAAGAAAAGCCCACACAGGAAAGGGCTAGTTACAACTGGGAGTTCAGATGCTATGTACTTTCAAATAGCTACAAGCTGCTTTGGTTTGGACCTCCTATTTAGCATTGTTGTTAAATGGTGACCAAGGAATCTTAGAGCAATTAAGTAGTGAAAACAAGTTTAAACAAACTAACTGTCATACCCAGATTACGTCTTCTGCTTTACCAGCAAATGGTGAGAGCGTGTTGATTGTTTATCTCGAGACTAAAACTTCAGCACACTCACTAGCTTCCTGCCAAAATCCTCCTTTATTAGGAAATAACAAAACAATATTTTCATAGTGTTTCTGGACTAGTACAGAGTAATTGGGTTGTTTAGACTTTTGGCTGAAGGATGGATCTGAAACTTAGTACAGGTTATAGCAAATCTGTCTTTAGCATGCTTTTGCTATTGTGGTATTTTTACTGTTTTTCCATGTGTCTTTAAATACAGGTGTGTAGCCTGAGTGTGGCAAAAAAGCACTTCTCTGCGCACATGGAAAGAGTAGTTTTCCTAATCAGGCTAGGTATAGTTAGTTAAGCACCTATTTAGTCTCTGCCAAAATAGCATCACCATTGTGTTTAAAAACAAGTTCACAGTCTACAGGGCTTGTATTAGGGATGATATTTCTTTAGTCACTGAAAGAAAGATTCCCTCTTCCCAAGCTCCACGTTGCTTATGTGAGTAGCTTCAGCAGGTACTTCCTCTGCTGCCCTGATAAGAGGATTGGCCCTAAACAGCTCCCTCCAAATGACTGTATACTCTGTAAGTAATTACAGAACTAAAAGCTGGACACTTGCTAATGACAGCTGGAGTAGCATTAGCAAAACTTAAGGGTTATACCTGTTGAATATTTTAGTCACACTGCTTCAGAGCTCCCTTCTTTTTTAATTGCTCAAGAGTTTAGGGAAGCCAGGAATGCATGACAACTTTTTATTTTTGTATCAAGTGCAACATTGCAAGTAACAGATAAAACTCGGTTTACTAGTCCCATAGTATACAGAACTGAAAAATGCATTATGCCATGCTGTAGGCACTGTGCGTAAGAACCTGGTCAAAACTTCAGTGCAATTGTGACTGGAAGAGCAAAGCAGTGCTATGACTATTACATCTGTATGTATCCCAGTGTCATTAATACATTTATGGTAAAGCAGAATGGCTACCACTCTAGTGTATGAGCAATCCCATGAATTAGATTTTACATCTAAAACAGCAAGCAAAGGAATCAATGCTAATCACCTTAATGAGGTGAGGTAACAAACCCAGTTTGGAAGGAATATGTTGAGCCAATTGATCACAACAGAAGAAAATTTAGGCTGAAAATACCTGGTTTTATCTAGTAGGGAGAACTGGAAATTGGGCAGTTATAGGTGGCCCAAGGAATTCTGCTTCCTAGCTTTTGCTCAGTCTTCATCTGTAGCACTGCAGAGGCCTTCAGCCAAGAAGTTTTTCATCAAGCTACTAGCAAGTGTAACTGACCACCATCTACACCTTTCTAGCTGTTAGTTCTGGAACAAGTCCTTGCATCACCACGGTTTGAGACAGGCATTTCTACTGAAGGTAGCTATCAAGTTTCTTCTTGATGTTGTCAAAGGAATCCATTCCCATATAGTCAGCTTGGCCCTGTTCCCACCGTTCCTTGCGTTCTTCTGAAGATACAGTTGGTAATACTGGTGATGGTGCTGATATTGATATGTGGGATGCTGCCTCTGTAACCTCTGCCTAAAAGGAAAGGCAGAGTGAAAACACAGAAATAATCTGCATAGCTAAAATGAGCAACAGGCCATAGAGTAGGACAACAAAGTAGATGTTCTCATGCACAGCAGCAAGCATTGCCAACGGGCAGGGATTGTGCAGCTTTCCTAGCAAAATAACAAGCAGAGTTACAGAAGTTAGCAGGGAGGAAAAAAAAAAGTTTAAGTTCTTCATACCTCTCTACAGAAGCCACAAGAGAAAGCCAGAGTATAGACCAAGCCCGATAGCTGCAAATAGTTTGTTAGAAAGATGTAAGATTAACAAGAGAAAGCACATCTTAAGAGATCAGTAACTTTGGTCTTAGAAAGGTTGAGAACTTAAACTGGCCCATTTACTAAGCTAAGACTATATAAAATCTGCAGTCAGATGCAAGCTACTAAACTCTGAATGAGAACTAGAGTTAGAAGCATTACTTTGGCTTTGGTAAGTATTGGGATTCACCACTGCCAGTCTAGGTAAGTAGTCATTCTCTAGTTATCCTAGGCTGACCTAGATTTGTTTTACCATGCAAGAGCTGTATGCACATACTGCATGCTGAACTGGGGTTCTTCTGCTTGAGAACCTTACTAGCTGCAACACATTAAGAGTTACATCCCTTCTCTGTATATAGTAAAGTTACCATGCTATAATTTCTGGGGCACTATTAGCTACTTACATAGTTTTAGGCAAGCAGACAGCTATGTTCAAGACCACTATAGCATGCTTCTCTTGTGTAGTATTACTTCATCTAAGTTTAAAACAACCAAACCAGAAAACCCTGTGTCCCACAAACTAAACCACATCTGTACTTTGAGTTGGACAGAGGGCTGGGAAATCAGTGGGATGGTAAAGAACCTGTCATCCATACTTAGGTAGTTTGTACAAGAATAAGTATTAAAGCACGTACCATGTTTACACCTGTAGTAATTTCTGTACCAATTCCATGCTGTTCTAGTAATGGTAAAACATTAGCTATATAGGTATCCCACCACATGTTGAGGAATTCTGGGTGAACTATTTTAGGGTCGTCCATGTTGCCCTTTATGCTTTTTGTTCTGGAGTCATATGTATAGTTCCATGGCTTTGCGCTTCCCAGGAAATGCACCACTTTAGTATTTGCACCAAACCTGGTGGACAGAAAAAGTTAGAACCCACAGTTTATGCAGGTGTCTAGAAAACAGAGTTTTGACTGGCAGACTTAATTTTTTTTTTTCAACCTGCTGTTTCTGTAGGTGCCCAGCAAACAAATATGAATGTATTTAGGAGGCTAAACACTACATGACCAAACTGCCAAAGCCTACTGGAACTGAAAGCATCGCTATACAAAGAAAAAAATGCAGAGTTCTACTTTACACTAGTCAGAATACAGCCAAAACGTAATGGTCTGGACTATTTAAGTACTTACAGCCAACTCAAGTCTTTAGGTAGAATGATGTCCATAGCTCAGGAGAGAGCAGTCTCAAGCAGCCGTTGCAATCGGAACTGGTTTTAAAAGTGAAAAACATTCTACTCCAAAGTCAGTGATCCAGAGAGTTAGGCATTATAAGCATTAGGTAGAGAAGGGTCAGTGCTGGAGTCACCCTTTCAGTTTATAGCCCTATAGAAAAGGATCAGTGGGAGGCCCTGCTACAGGAAGACTCTGTCCCTGCAAAATAATAGCTTTGTATAACCAAAGCATTTCAGAGGACTTCTGATCTTGGTGCAGCAGGGTCCTGCCAGACAACCAACTTTTATTTTCTAAGTAACCTTAGTGTAGCCATGGGTGGGTGTTATGGTGGGGTTTTTTATTTTCGATTGTTCCTTTTAAAAAACTATTTTAACTCCATTTTTATTAGGGACTTCTAGCTTTGTCCCAAATGTTACCAGTTAGTTACATCCCATTAAGAGTGTAGATGAAACGCACCCCTTCTGAATTAAAGAACTTAACACTAACAGACAGCATTCATTCCATTGTTCTATGGTTTCAGAACTAGAGTTCAGCCGGAGTCAATTTTGTGAACAAGCAACACCAGTCTCTCCAGTAACAGCAGCTCTCTCAGTTCAGTTTGTATCACATGAGGATTTCTTCTCAACATATGATTAAAAGGGATAATAATGCCAAATTAGTTTGTCTAACATTTTGTTAAGCACACCCTGGTCATTTTGACCAGGGCTCAGATGATTAAGGGGTTTTATATAGGGTGTGTTTCAGAAACTTCAGAATATTCAAAACAAGGCAGTATGCATTTGGGTTAGGTGTTTTGTACTGTTGTAAGACCCTTGACTGTATTTCAGTATTCATGTTCAGTGTTTTGAACGTAACAGATCTTACTGCAGAATGAAAATTACACGTGTGTGAAACAAGGTCAAGTATGTGCACTGATTGTCAGAAAAAAAACAAACAAACAAAAACCAACTGTCTGCAAGACATCAGTTCCTGGGCTTTAACTTTAAACTCTGTATGTCAAGATGTGGCATAAGAGGACTACCTTAGTTTTATTAGGTATTACAGCACTGCTTAACAGCCTGAGTTTTCTTCATCTTGGGCTGCTGCTGTTCTGAGGAAGCTTGTCATTGTTTAGAAATCAATGCTATTTAAGCTACAGCATGCCCAAAAAGTGTTATGTTACACTTGCTGCAAACGGAGAAACATATTCTGTCCACTTATAACCTGTACAACAGCTGACAGATGCCAGGCTTCTATGATGTTTTCAGTATCTGCTTTCTAGATACTTTCTCAATCCACAATACTGTCTTTTGACATTTCAACTCAACTGTTAGGAAGCTTTATATCCACACTGGCCTCAGCAACTAATCTGTCTTTCCCCATCTCCCAGAAAAGTCCTTCATCAATGTTTTGAAGTTAGAGAGCATTTGTCATGAATTGGCATTTTCCTTTGGAAAAAGGATTACCGAGACTGCTGTGAAATCTAGTCTCGCTGTACAAAGCTGCGAAAAACTTAGCTATTGATGTCAGTAGGTTTAAATTTCACTTTATTCCAACTGCTGATTATCAGGAGTGTAGCTGCTGATCTAACCAAGGGAAATTGTTCCACCTCTTGAGCAGGGCATTCTACTTAAAAAGGGCTGCACTTCCAGCATTCTACTTCTGAAGGTCTGCTGAAAACAGTTCAGCAATTCAATCAGTTAAATGGAATTTGTCAGGAGCCCCCAGATCTAATTAGTCTTTTGTGGTAACAAGGTCATTTGTAAATTTAAGGTCATGTGACTAACAACCAGCGAGGGAAAGAATATATACCTTACAATAGATGTGAGCTTATCAAGTGGTATCCATCTACTTAGTCATTCTTAGGCTTGCATATGTTTCTTTAAATAAGTGTTCCACTTTTAGCATGACAGCATTTCAAATGGTATTCTGATCACAAGACATAGTTTGATCTTGAGCCAGCAACAGTCCTGCTTATGGTAGCTGCTGCTTCAGACACTAGTAACCTGATGTCATTCAGAGATCAGATTGGTTTTATGCAATTGGTACTTCCCCTCCCCCCGCTTTTTGCGGCTCTTAATGAGTAAAAGTTTGTGTAACATTGCAGCTTCCCCCCCCTTCCTCCTATGTTTATTGTGACACTTTGAGTGACCCTGCCACTGACATACAGTTTAGTCACATGCCAAATCAAACACTGCTAGCTAGGGAGGACAGAGTTGTTTTCCTTACACAGGAAACATGCAATGGTATGGTGGTCAGCTGTAGTCTTTGTTCTGTCTTGATCTTACTTAAGGAACTGTCCAAGATCTAGAAAGACTGTTGGGAGAGAATTCTGGCTTTACCCAAGTCTTCATTCACCATGTTTATTTGAATGGTATAGGTTGATTAGATGAACTGTTAACTGCTGGTTGTTAAATACCCTAAGTAATTTGAGGAAAGGGCAAGTTATCTAGGTGGGAACAAGACCACCAGTGACATGCTGAAGTCTGCTTACGCTGATTCAATAGCTACTGCCTTTGCTTAGAGCTGTAACAGACAGTATCCCATACTGGAGTAGTTCTTCCTTTTGCAAGTAACCTGTCAAATGTGCTTACTCTAAATCAACTTGGTTGTTGATGAGTGGTTTAAGCTACAGATAATAGCTTTCTCTCTGCATTTATCATGAGATGATTAATTTAACTAGTATTAATTCCACCTTTTTTTTTTTGAGAGGAAACTATTATACCTTCTTTTAGTGACAATAATGGTCTCCCTTTAGAAAAGCTGTCTAAGTTCACATTGTACCTGTTCATTCTGTTACAAGTAATTAGTTTAGATAAGCTCTGAAAGTTGTCTTAGAATTTTTAACTTACGCTTTAAATGCTGGAAGGTAGGAATATACAGAAGTGCTGCTCAAATTATAAATAAATGGTAGATGTTTGCTCATGTCTGTTGTTGCCCAGCTGCTGAAGAAGGTGTTTAATAACCCCTGATCTGCACCTGAAAGAGAAAGCATTAATAGGGTACAAGCATCAGATAGCTGTTTCAGGATCTTTTTCAATCACTTCACTAATTGAGTTGGTAATGCAGTTGTCATGTCCAGTAGGAGTTTGGCACAGAGCACTAGAGTTCTATTTACAAACCACCCTGTAAAACCTTGCAGCCTTTGAAAATCCAAAAAAATGCAGAGAATTAAAAGGATAGTATGTATGGGGTTACTTTTTCTAAAAGATAGCAAGCTGCTCACAAACCCTGCCATTCAGGTTCTTTTCCAGCTTAAGTTCAAGCTGTATAAGGTAGCAAAAACCAGGACTTGACAATTAAGTAATGTTCATCTTCAGGAAAGCTGTAGCTCAGAAGATCAAGTGCTGACAATTAGTTTTATTACTGTGCATGACCAACATCTCAATGCCAGAGTTAGGGTACCAGGGGTCTGTTAGACCTGCAGTCCTGCATGCACCTACCTATGTTGTGATCTGATAAAGAAAGCACATTCAGTCTTTGTGACAATTCTAGTAAAACTTCATCAAATCCCTTAACAGGCAATAGGCCTTCCTAGGTCTGTACTAAAAAGCTGCTGACTAACCCCTAAGTGAGAATAACAATATAAATTATGGCCAGACCTACTGTGTTTGGAGGGGTCACATCTTGGTTTGCAAGCAGAGGTTGTAACGAGGTCAAATGAGTCTAAAGTTGTTTGGTATGTCAGTAGTGGAACAGCTAAAAAAAAAAAAAAAAGCCTCTGGCCCAAAGCAGACTAATTTGTAAGCATCTCCTGAGAAGTAAAGCCTATTTATTTACATCCATTCATTCTTTATTGTAGTGAATATACTTAGTCTTTAAGTGCTAATAGCTCATCTTATGAAGGGGTTTGAAGGGAGCACTTTAACTTTCATTCACCATATTCCCTTCACCTGTAACTGCATTCACAAGTAACATTGCTGAACAGTAGGCAAATGGATAGCTTAGTTAAAAGAGAGAAAATGTTTTATTTTAATCTTTAATTTTCTAAAGCACTCAGTCTCTGCTGACCTAGGAAGAGTTATTTTTTTTTTATTGGCCTACATTTAGATTTAGGGCAGTACTAAGGCTTACACACCATCACTGCTGTTTGAGCAGAATTTACGTTTTGCAACTGAAGTACCTAGACACTGGGCATAAACTTAGATGTACAGACAGTACACTGACAAATATAAATTCTACATATCCTGTTACAGCTGTCAGCATACATGCAGATTTCAGAGTGAGGAACTGCCTAGAGGAACTCAGTCCAGTAATTTCAAACCTCTGACTTGCCTCTCAACCTGCAAAGGAAGGAAAGCACTTTTGAAGAAGTTGTGCCCATCACAAGATTAGAGAGTCAAAGAAACCAGACATCCCCTGGTCTTCACTCACCTATGTTTCATTTTAACTTCTAACTTAATGCTGTGTTAAGAACATGTGTGTTAACAGTAAGATCATCTAAAAGAGAAGTCAGTCTGGGGTGCCCTCTCAGAACATGTAGCTCATCACTGAAGGGGCAGCAACAATGCATTTAACTTATTCTACAGGACTTTCTCTCACTCAGATTGTTTTATATACTCTGCTTTTTTTTCCAGATTGCATGCATTTGTGCCAAAGCAGCCACTGAAAGCAGCATTTAGCTGTCCTAGTTCAGACTTCAACAGTAGTCTTGTATAAACTGGGCCTTAGACAAAAGGTGCCAGAATCAGGCAGTAGATACATTAGCTATGTATCTACAGCTACAGTCTTGCTGCACTGTATCTTTATATGTAAAAGCAACCATTTTAGATCCCAGGCCTGAAGAGCCAGAGGATTGTTGAAGCAATAGCAACATTAAGGTACCAGTACTACCAGTTTTCTTTTAAAACCAAATTTTTTTTTCTCCTCTCCACAACTTTTAGAAGGTATCTAGAATTACTGCATGACTTGCTTCTCGTTATCTGGAAAGGTGAAGTTCAGATAGACAAAATAGTTGTCTGCATAGGTAGCCATCACTTTAGCATCTCTGGACAACAGTGTTACATAGGAGGCATCTGTCTGCTGCTGTAAACATGAAATACTCTGGGAAGTCTTGCATTCCCTAGCTACTACTACTGCAGATGGGGTGCTTAAAGCTTGACTTAAATTACACATAGCTTAGTAGCTCCCTGAGTTTGCATCCCTGTGTCCTATTAAGGGCCATGACCCTTCACAGGTGTTTCTTATAAAAACTTTCCTAGGAACTTTTATTACTGTCTAGATCAATTTAAGTTTAAATTCCCTTTCTCCCCATCAAGTTCATAAGCTCAGCAGCAGCTTATGCAGGTGGTAAAGTCTCTGTGGTCTTACTACTCAGACCAGTGCTACCATTTAATAAACACTGAATAAATTTTAAAGCTGAAGTACAAATTACAGTTCTAGAAATTTGGTAGCTAAACCATTAACCATTTTGCTGTTAAGAGTTGCAACAATTGCTTCATGTTTAGGACACTGAGGAAGTTTCACCATTGTGCAGCTCTAGCTTTCAGGTCAGAAAGTATACTGTGGAAGCAGTTTTATTCCTTTAAAGGAGAGGGGCCTTAGACCTAGAAGATGGGGTCTGCTAGCAGTCAAGCCAAAGCTCAAGATGTATCAGATGTTCCTGGAGCTACTCAACAGTCAGTTTGCAGGTGGGTTTGTTTGGGGTTTTTTGTTTAGTTGGGTTTTGGGTGGGTTTTTTTAATGCAAAAATTCATTACTGTGCTACAGCTTTTGCCATAGCTGGTGATCAATTTAAACCCAACATTTGAGAGCGCTCCCAGAGCTACCAAACACTACTTTGTCAGCAGCGAGGTACAGACCCTTCATTACACTGCAGTACTCATTTTCACTAGAGTTTGATATGGTAGGTTTAAGCATCCAACTACAGCTAATGTTCTTTAGGAGTCCACACAGTAACAGGGGTTATTCTGCAGACTAGGACTGACATCTAGAATTTTTACTTTTTACAAAGTACTGAAAGGTAGGTCAACAGGCTGGCTAATTACCTTCTATTAAGAGTTCCATTTTTATAGTCTTTCTTATGTAGTTTTCTGTAGCTTTTTCAGTTAAGACTTTGATTTTGTACCACAGCAGTTACATGATGAAATTTAGTGACAGGAGACAGTGATAAGTCATTCAGAAGCCTTTAACTGTACAGCAGTCTTCAAGCAATGTGTGCATTTACTGCAATGGTAATATTTAGGAGACTTACAGGACAGCAGAACTTGGCTTCTCAAGCTAAAATCTGGCACAGTGGCTGATCCCGAGTGACCTATAGTGGGAAGCAGCCAAGGCTGCATACACTTGATGGAGGGAAAGACAGTCACCACCCTATAATGACAGGAAGCTATCACATAGCATATGAAGAGATAGTTGCATTGTCAACTGTTTGTTTCTCTGAAGCTGCACTCAAGGTGATCAGTACCATTATTTCCACAGCAGCTTGTTAGCATGGAACACTCAAGCCTCAGACATTAGGAATGCATGAATCATAGTACCTCAGTTTCATTTGCTAATGCATGCATTGTGCTTGCTACACATTGCTAATGCTTGCAGCTGCCAGTTTGGAGGCCAAACTCTTAGGTTTTTATTTCATGAAGTCTGAAAAAAGTAGTCTTACTACATATTGTAATGATAGCCCCTATCGCGAGAGGGATATAGTCTTTGTGTACTTACACTGAGTTCAGAATTCTGTGAGAGTCCCCATGACATGTATGTAGTTACTGAGCCATCCCAACCACTATTACCATTTAGGTCCAACTTACATTGAAATACAAATTAAACCATACCATCAAAGCTGCCTTTCTCTGTGGCAAACTGTAACAGCTGATTGTATGTTTCAATGGAAGGTCGGTAAACAAAAACTCCAGAATTAAAACAGTCAGGCCAGCCTGGATCTGGTGCTGCAGATAGCTCTTCTCTCTCAAAAAGCTCATCAATATTTGTCAAGACCTAGTTGTAAAGGGGGTAAAAAAAAGTTTTCCATTTTCTTAGATTAGAAATTGGGGTATCAGTTTTAATGGATTTTGACATTCACCTTAAGAGATGAAAGCAAGTTCTCATAGTGATGCTCTTGTCTTATGGAAGACAATACTTTATGGAGATAGTCCCCACAGACAAATTAATTTAGATTTAAAAAAAGCACATACATTTTTAGAGCTACTAGTCCAAATAGCAGAGGCCTCTATTACTGCTCCTCTTAAAAAAAAAAAAAACAAACAACCAACCCCAAACACCAAACCACACCAATCCCCCTCCCCCGCAAAACCCCCAACAACAAAAAACCAAGCTACATTAAAAAAAAAATCCAGCAATCCCCACACCAGGTCATTGAGGTACCATGAGACATGACCACTTACCATTGTGTCTGCATCCATGAAAATGCATTTTGAAAACTGTGTCAGTTCCCAGCAGTGAAGCTTTGTTAGTGTGACACCCAGCTCAGGTCTTTTCATTAATGCCAAGTGTGCTGAATCCCCACTATCCAAGACATTTACCAATATGACTTCATCAAAGACTTTTTCCAGCACTCTCCTGGGGAAAGAGAGAATTGCCAAGATTTAGTTCTAGTGTTATTCCAGCACCAGACCACATGGCAGACTCCATAAAGAGAAGTGGAATAACAGGAAACCTGGCAGTATTTCTTACACCAGCAGTAAGAGATGACCGCATGTGTTGGAATGCACAAGTACACCTGTGTGCCTCAAGGTTTGTAGTTTGTAATAGGCATATTTTGGGGAACAATGAAGTTTGTTTGAGGTGTTTTTTTTTTTCCTTCCACAAACAGGGCTTTAGTTGCCATTGCTACTAAGTCCAGTAGGTCGTGGCTGTGTAGTACAAACTTTCCACACAGCTTTTTTCAGCCAAACCCTGTTGTTTTTTTTTTTTTTGCAAGTTTAAGAGTCTACTTTGAGCAGACAACTAAGAAATGGGAAGCTGTTAAGAGTAGCTTGAGCAGGACAGTAGCTGAATCCTAAACAGCTGAAACAGAAGTTTATGCAATAGTTATGACAACACTGTTCCAGATTTGTGACTGTCCCATCTGACTAGACCCAGCTGCTAAAACTTTTTTACCCATAAAGTTTTAAAGATTGGCTTCATCATGGCTGTGGGTACAGCAGTGTTTTGACCCAGTATCACATTCACCTAAGGGTGACAAACTTCCAGACAGTGTAGTGAAATTGTGTGGCAGATAGCCAACTTACCCTTTACTTTTAGTTCAAGAGAGGTTAAGGAGTTCATGCTGCTTAAAATATGAAGCATCTGTAAAGTCTCACTATTCTACAGTGTCTCTTGAATACTCAGCAATTACCAGTACAATTTGAGCCCCAGAGCTTGTAAATGAGTTTTGGAACTCTGCCTTGCAAGGCTGTCTTCATACTGACAGTTTGGTATGGACAGTTACTTTTCAACTTAAGGCATGCCTAGTTAGCGGATAGAGCGAGAAATGAAAAGTTCCAGTTTCACCACTAGGTAGGAAGGTATCACTGGTCTAAGGGCATAGTACTAGCTGGCCTGCAGTAGCACATCAGCACATTTATGATTCATCTTCAAAGAGCACACACACCTAATAGGCTAGAATGGATGTTCTTACATGTAACGTCTTTATATTGATAAGGCCATTTAGGTGCCAAGAGACTCCAGGGAGAGTCACTCCATTTATTATTCAGCCACTTCTCTACTATCTCTATGAACTGGGAGATCTTTTCAGAACTTCCCCGTGTAGAGAATTGTGACCTATCATCTACAGTTTAGGTAGCTATTAAGTTAATTTGGTTTTTTGCCCTCCTCTTACATGTGGAAAGAGCACCCAGTCCACTCCATACTGGGACCATTCTAGACAGGCTGTAGGAAGCAGTCTATTAATTTTGTTTGTTTTACCCTGGTGACCTTGTTAGATGCCTCTGTTGATCTGGTGATTTAACATACTTGGTATTGCTTTAGTTCTGCTCATTTTCTTCTCTCGTGATAAAATTTGATTTGAAGTGTCTGCTGGATTTTAGGACAGCTTGTGTTACATTATCTCAATCATGAATGCCTCTGCAAGACAAATAACCCTGTTCCCACCTCCACATGCATACACACAGCACTAATGAACACACAGGCAGTATCGTATTGTTGGACAGTTTGAAGTAGGACTATGAAAGAGCAAAGATCCAGTTGAAATAGCAGTATCAAGTCAGTTTAGTGCTCTAACTATAGAGTATTTGTTAACTCATCATAGGGAAGAAAGGAAAAACCCACCAGTTTCATGTTTGAAGAACTTACAGGATTCTAGAGAGTATAAGTTGAAGTCTGCTAAGTGTCCAGAGTTCTGGAAGGTTAGTATTAAGGAATTTAACTTCCATTTTTCAACCTTCACATCAGTGGCAGTTTGAAGTACATAAGTGACCTTACCTCATAAGATCTGAGACCTGAGGAGTTATGAGTGCAGTCAGCTTCCTTGTTGTTCTGTACTGTTGCAAGGATGAACCAAGTACCAGTGCTCCTTTCACATAGGAGTCATTTGTGGCTAGAGTCACAAAAGACTGGTCTGGAAGAAATGAACTTGGTCAAGTTAGCATGATCCACTATTTCATTCTGAGACAGATATACTAGAAACCTAGTATTGTTAGGTAATCATGCTATGAGACCTCTTAAGATGTCCCCTTTAACTGCATATTGGGCCTACCTACATGGCTGAACCAAGCAGATTACACTTGAACAGCTATACCTGTTACTGGTAACTTGACACATGGCAAAATGCAGTAAAAAAACCCAAATCAAGACTGTTGCAAGAGAAAACCAGTTCCAGTTTGCCCACGGGTTAGGTCATGCCGAATGTTAAGAGACAAACCAAAAGGTCTAAAGAGCCTTATTTTGGCCATTAATACACAATTTTTAAGCTAAAAGTGTTGGAAGTCAGTGAGCTTGCATTTGGTCTAAGGTTAGTAATAAAGTTTTGCAAAGTTCAGCTCTCAAGCCTGAAGCTAGGGCAGCATGGAACGTAATTTTATTTTCAAATGAAAGTAAGCATTGAATTAGATCTTGGACAACAGTATTAAGTTTTGCTAGCTCAGGATTTTGCAGATGAGTTGTTCTGCAACCCACGGTTGCAGCTGTATCACAAGAACAGAAGATTTAAACGGGAGGTAACCAGTAATATGATAAGCAATTTAAGACTTGCAGCAACAGTTTTTGCTCTTCAAGCAAAAAAGAGGTAAAGTTGAATTGTTACTATAATCTTCTGCTCCAGCTGTAATCTTCAAAATAGATTGAGATGGATCACTTTGCCATATACTGCTTATTGAGGCCATATAATACAAGCTTTGCATTCTTTCAGTTGTCATGTTGTTTTTAAACTGCCAGGGTGGGACTTTGCAAAGCAAACAAGTAGCTTCTAAACTTCTTCAGTTTATTGTTAACTATCATTATGTAGACTGTTAACGATCATCATGTAGCACTCCTTTCCAAGCTACAGCACTTTATAAAGTGTGCTCTTTTCTACAAAACCATTTTTGACACCATCAACAAAAACACTTTCTTCCTAAGAATTTCAAAAGTAGATTTTCACATTCGAGTTTATTTCAGCAACTGTGATTTCTTTTCTCTACAGAAGTTGTTAACTAGATTAGATCAGGATTGAGAGTGAGGGTTCTGGGCGCTTAAGGGCTTACTATTCAGTAGTAAGATTAAAATACCGACTGCTCTACTCTCAGATTATTGTTTGGTATGACTCCTCAGCCCATGAGACAGTCATCATCAACATCATCTTTAACTTAATACAATCTTAACAGTTGACAGCAGAAAATCATGTACCATATTTGTCTATAAGCTCTGCAAACCTGGTTTGCAAGCTCTACAGACCAGCTACAAAACCTTCTATTTTGCTTAGCAGCAAAACCAGCTAGTCCCAAGGGATTTAGATTATAGTGGTCAATTACAAAGTTCAAAAAAGCTTCTACAATGCCAGGAATAAAGACTGTTTTTCATTCTACTTTAGCTACCAATGTGTAATAGTTCATATAATTTAGAAAGTCAACAGAACAATTTTGTGCTTCTTTGAAGCTTTACAATTGGCAAGTATGTAGCATTTTAAGTGGTGTGGACATCCTCCTAATAGGGCAGCATTTTTCACTACTTAATTTGCATGGTACTCCTCAGTTACTCAATACATAGAAGTCTGCCACTATCCTGACAGACAGCTCGCTAAAAATCCAGTATAGACAAAGTGGGATCGTGTGGGTTTGGTTTTTTTTTCCCCCCAGCAGTATAAAACTAGTTCTTAAAGTGACCTTGCCACTTAACGACTAGTCCTTTTCATTGATCTGTTAGCACGTATCCTTCTACCAGGTCTCCTTATCTTACTGAAACTGAGTATCCACACACAAAGGTCTAGGAGAAATAAAGTCAGTTTGATGATGGCGTAAAGGCTAAGAAGCCCCCTGTTACATCCCAACTGCCACAGGAAACTTTGACTGCTTGACAGGAGGACGATAGCGGCAACTTGTAGAGCGTCCAAGTCAGTATAGCTTTCCAAAGTTTTGAATAAGCCATGTTCTACTTCATACCTTCTCTCAAGTGCATTCACGAGTACATTCAGACCCATTATGCAGGAGTCTTACACTAAACTTTAGGCAAGACCAGCTGCTGCTTAATATGGAAGTTACATCTGCAAGAGACTCGTCCATTCTGCCTAAGCCACAAGTACTTCAGCTGCACAGGCGCTCCTTCCCATCCTCTCCCCCTTCTCCGTTCTCTGTAATAGTTTCCTGCACAGCAGGTTATGCTCACACAGCAGTCACTGCTACGCCTGAAACCCACCGAGCTGTTAGTGTGGCTGCAAAAACACACAGAACGCGAGACAGCTGTGCAGCTTCATAATTGATTTATCCAGGCAAAGCCGAGCTGCTTCAGACCTCTATGGCCGCCCGGTCCGTCGGCACAGGAGAGCCTCGGAGCAGCCCCTGCGCACCCCAGGGCGTCCTGGAAGCCTGCGCCAGGAGCGGCCTCTCATTGGACAGCGAGCCGGGGGGCACTGGAGCGCTTGCGCCAGGTGTTTTAAGACTTCCCCCGGAAGCACTTCCCTGGGCACAGCACGAGCTCGCAGGTGTTCGCCTGCTCTCCCCAGTTCGGTACTAGCGCATCCCCTTTTTTGTCGGGCACAGGGTTCCTGAAGAGACAGGAGCGTCTCGTCAAGCCGTGCCCACGGAGGCAGAGCACCG